TGAAGATCCGATAGTATTTGACAAATTTCAAAAAGCATTGGATATCTCTTACCGTATTTTAGATCTTCTAATCTATAATAGTTTGAACTTTCTTAGGATCCATCATAAGTCCATCATTTAAAATGATGTATCCTAAAAAGTTGACTTGAGTAGTATGAAATACATACTTTTCTATCTTGGCATAGAGTCTTGCATCTCTTAGTTTTTGTAATACTTGGCAAACATGAAGTTCATATTCTTTTGAGTTCTTAAAATAGATTAAGATATCGTCTAGATAATAAACAATAAAATCATCTAAAAACTTCTGAAAAACATCATTCATTAGATGTTGGAATATTTTTGGTGCATTTGTAAGTCCAAAAGTCATGATGTTGTATTCAAAATATCCATACCTTATTCGAAATGCAATCTTCTATTCATCTCCTTCTTTGATGCGTACCAAATTGTATGCTCTCCATAGATCTATTTTTGTATAAATCTTAGCTTAATTCAACTGATCAAGAAGTGTAGATATCAAAAGTAGTGGATACTTGTTTTTGATAGTGATTTTGTTGAGTCCTCGATAATCAACATATATCCACAATAATCCATCTTTTTTCTTCACAAATAAAATTAGAGCTCCTACTCGAGATTTGGAATGGCGTATGAAGTTCTTAGCGAAATTCTCTTCAATATACTCCATGAGTTCAATCAATTCTTTTTGAGATAAATTGTAGATTGGTCCAAATGGCGGTTGTGCTCCTTCTTGAAGGTCAATTGAACAGTCGTAAGAACGATGTTTTCAAAGAATATCAACATTATTTTTCTCAAATACATCTTAAAAATCTTGATATTGGCTTGGAATGCCACTTGAAGTCTTTCCACCACTAGAAATAGGTGTGGCATAAATGACACAAGGTGATCCTTCTTTTACAGCATACAAGAAAGCACTTGTACTTACAAATATAGGTTTAATTATACTAGACTTATGACTTTCTACTTGATTAATTATACTCTTAGTTATACTTTCAGAAAAGTCAAGACTACGAGAAGTTCAATCTATTTTAGGATTATATTTTTCTAGTCATGATAAACCTAAAATAATTGGATTAGAAGGAGATCTAATGATATTAAATATTATGACCATTAGTTGCTATTTCTGTAGGAAAGGTTTCATGAGTAACATCTTTGGAAGACAACGGACGACCATCTATGACTTCTACATGAAGAGGTTTAGTTTTCTTTACTAAGAATATATTATATCTTTATCAAATTTTTCATCTAAGAAACTTGCTGAGGCTCCTGAATCTAGCAAGGCAAATGCTTTGAGATATTTAGGTCCTAGAATAATATTTATCGTAAAATATAGAAAGGGTTTTGAGGAGAGGATAGGACCTTCACTAGGCATTATGCAAGGTTCCAGCCGCACGGTCCCTATTATAGCTGGACAAATTCATTTTTTGACATACTATCTCTTTTTATTGCCATACTCCTTATTTTATGGTTGCATCGTTTCTTTGGATAATGTTGAATAGTGTACTTAGGTTCTCCACAATATAAGTACAAACTTTCTTGCCCATGACGAGTATTTTCTTGCTTAATAAGAGGTTTGAAACATACTGCATCAATTTGCATATCCTCTACTTCCGAATGTATGTATTGAAGAGATATTAGTGTTGCTATTGAATTCTAGTTATGTTGAGGTCCACTTATACGGTTCTCAGATCGGAATCCAAAAAGGCGATTGTTGCACTTCACAGCAAAGTCAATTGCTTGACTCAATGTTTGAGGATCAGGTAAGTTGAGCATCAATTTTTTTACCTCATATTGTAATCCGTAGAAAAATTGGCTAATGAGTGTAACATCATCCCACTTAATATCACTTGCAAGTTGTCAAAATTAAGAAGCATACAACCTTATTGATCGATTGCCTTATCGTAAAATACAGATCTTATTAGTTGCAACACGAATTGCATCATGTTCTCCATACATGGATCAAAACTCTACCAAAAAAGCCTCTAGATTATCCAATATTGGATCTCATCGTTCAAGAAAAGATGAAAACCATGATAATGCTGAATTTGAAAGAAGTGTACTAATGAATCTAACTTACGATCCTGGAGTTGAATAGCTTTGGGGTTGAAGTTCAATCACAAGTTGTACTTGATTGATAAATCCTCTAAACTTTGATCTGGTGCCATCAAACTTCTTGGGTAGGACAATTCTTAGTTCTCTAACACTGGAAGGGTGTTCCACCATAGGAAAAGGGACATGATTTGGTGCAGATGTTGAAGCAGCTCCAATCATTTCTATATCTTCACTTCTTACCAATCTTATTGCTCCTTATAGTGGTAAATTAAGTTGATGCATCGCAAGCATTAACTCTTTCAATTGCTCTTGCATTTGTGCCATTGCACTCTTCATTTCAATAAGATCTGCCATGATAACACTTAGAAAAGAGAAGATGTCTAATATCACTAAAGACAAATAGAAGAGAGGACTTGAAAACAAAGAAAATACTAAGGACAATATCAGTTTAAAAGAGGGTAATCCGTAACTTTTAATATACTTATGTCCTATCAAGAAAAAGGAGTAATTCACTCTTAATCAAGATTAGACAAAGCTCTGATATTGTAAGTGCACTCTTGTCAATCTATCAATGACAAGAACATGATAAAGACAAATAAATAAGTGAGACTTCTCTTAAAGAAAGATGACAAAATAGAAATAACTTGATATGTATATTAAAAAAGAAATTGGAATGGCTATTGCCAAAAGATAAGAAAACTAGAGACCCTTGAAACTAGACTGGAAACAAGAAAGGAGTTGATAAGAGTGAAGAAGGCTTTACTCTTGTCTCTATATATACTATCTAACTAGGGGCTACGTGGCGATGATTTATAAGACCTCTAATATGTGTTGACTTTGTAGGACACATGCCTTGACTTACAAGGCAAGTTTTTCTATGTGTGGGCCACATAGTTACATTGGTCTTCAAGCTAACAACATGTGTGGCACATGGCCAACTTGTTGACCATGTTTCTAATCCAAAAAGTCAATTAAAGACACCTATAAAGTCAAAGCAGCATCTATGAAGCTTCTAGAAAGCTTCCATATCAAATACTATAGAATTAACTTACTTTTATCTACTTTTACTTACTTCTACCTATTTATATGTGTAATAACTGGCTTACATGAATATATCCGTGACACTAAGATTGGATTGAGTTTTTTTAAACATAAAAAGAAGTTATAGTGACTTTATTTTAAATAATATTATACCAATTGGATGAAAAAATTAGAAATTCGAACTTATTGAAGCTTGAAAATTATAATTAGAATTATTTAAAAAAATTAAAATTACAAAAAAATGAAGTAATAAGAAAATTTATTTTTTTATATGTTTGAAGTTATTAAGTATTTTTTAGCACTTTATATTAGCATTAAACATTTTGAAATTAGAATTGGATTATATTATTTTATTATAAACAAAATCTACTACAATTATTAATTAGTTATAAAATATAACTTTACCTCCTATAATTACATGCTCGGTGCCTTTCCAAACTTGATAACATATATTGTGGCAGTGTATATTACTAGAATTTTTTGGATGCTAGGTTATCAATTACAAATGTTAATTTTTATAATGAAAAAAATATAAAAAATTCCTATAATTCTTCTTTTTGTGTCTTAAGATTTATCTTGACCTTCTTTTATATATGGTTATCTATTAATTATCAATTTTACAATTTTTATTATAAATCTTGTATAAACTTAAGCTTTTATTTATTTTAGAAGTAATTATATTATTCTTCAACCTATTATATCTTGTCTTAATTTATTTATAAAACTATTAAAAAAAATATTATTTATTACAAAAGATAATTTATAATATAAACTTTATAGCCAAGCTTGATTTATTAGCTATTAAGGTGTAGGAGATATTTATATAAGTTATATCTAAGTTTTCACAACACATCTTGGATCTTTATCAATCTTTTTACTAAATACTTATATTACAACATGGCAATTTTTAATAAGCTAATAATATAAATAATTTTCTTCTTTAGTTATATAAATATTTTTTAGAGCAAGAATTTTATTCTTTTTCATAATTTTTTTTTCTAATACAAGTCTTTCTTAGCTCCAAAAAAATAATATAAAAATTAAATTGATAAAAAAATTAAATTGTAGTAGTATAATGTATATTTATTTAATAGAAAGTTATATGTTTTAGCATACACTAAAAACGTTTAATATAGAATAGATCTTATCAAATGTTATAGAAATATTATAATAATTATTTTAACGCAATAAATTCTACAATTTAATCATTAAAATTAATCTAATAATCTAACATCAATACATATTTGATTAATGTATTATAATGACATTTTAAAAATAGAATAAAAATATGAAATACAAATTTCTATTCCTCGGATTAAAAAAATTGCTGTTAAAAGCTAAACACAATTTTCAATTTAAAATATAAAGTTGTGGTTGTTTAAATTTTACCAGAAAATCAAAATGTATAATGTAAATATGTTGGTTTCAAATTGGTTCAAGTTTTTGTTTGACAATCAGGGATTTTTCCAACTGTTTTATGACATAAACTATGACTCTTTTTGTTTATATGCATCAAAATGTTTTTGGAAGATCAACTTACTATCCTCCAAAGGCATATATTTATTTATTTATTTTGGATAAGAATGTTGCTAGAAACAAACCATGATTTGGCACATGAATTGAGGCATTTCTTGCTGTATTTCTATCTTCAAAAAGAAATGTATTCAATATAGACATGGCCCTATAGGGTTGTATTGCTCCTACCAACACTCTCATTTATCTTTACATTCGCACTTGAATATTCTTCATCTTTGCTATTTAAACCATGGCAAGAATATTACAATTCAAACACATATACAAAACATCATTATTATGAGCATGAAACTGTTTTGATTACACAATATTCCCCACACAAGACAGTTAAAAACAAAATGCAAAGCAGCCACTCCAAATGAGAAGATGAAAAGACGTTTAAAGTAAAAAGTCTTTAGCACTGACAAGCTCAACGCCGAAAAAAAGAGGCTTCCAAAGCACACTTCTAAATACGATGTCACTATTCGATTTCATAGCACCTTAAAGAAAAAAACACTATTATTTTATTACGGGAAGAGCGGATTCACCCACCCCATCCTGCGAGAACAAAAAGGTGCTCATGAAATGGAACCCAAAAATTGCTGCAGCTGCAGCAAAAAATACCCTAATCCTGCAGGATTTGCAGCCATGGATGCCACCTCATCATCATCGAGGATGCAAGGTGGTGAAGCTGTCGAAGGGCACGGTGCTGCCGCCGCGGCCATTTTCTAACGAACAGCTTCCAGAATCGCCGGCTTCCACATTCCCTCGTGCAACGGTGTCATTGTCCTTGAAGAGAGACTTGTGCTTGAAGTATTCTGTCGACCATCTGTGTTCCTCTTTCTTCGGCGGCTTGTAAGTCGCTGCTAACGGCTCCAAAATACTCAGAACCTCCTGCGGCACCTCAAGGAACGGCAACTCCACGTCAAGGATGAGTTCTGCCGACATCCATTGAAACGGATGTGCATTGAAAGAGGGGGAACTGCGCTTTGAAGAGATTCATGGGCATGATACCTTCATGGTGGGTCGATCCGGCCTGTCGGTTATGGAACACGAGAGCCCGACTTCTGTCAATGCGGTGAACATCTTCTCATCGTAATCGTCCCCCAGTTTCTTGTCCAGGATTGCTCTAACGCCTTCTTCCTGGAACCTTAGTTTCACCCAGTCGTTCAGATTGACAGCTTCCAGTCGATTCATGTCGAATACGCGTTGTCCTGTGACTAGCTCCAGGGTCACGACTCCGAAAGCGTAGACGTCGCTTGCTATGGTGAGTTGGTTGGTTCGAAAGTAGTCGGGATCCAGGTACCTGTGCGACATGAGAGCACAGATACCTTCAGCTTATGGTGGTGTATGAATTCAAACATGTTGTGTCGTTTAGACGATGAGGTGGGTGCATGATTAGTTAGTGTGATGCAAGCCTTGTCCATTTGAATCTAGTTTTGTGAAAGCTGATACTGATTGAGAAGGGGCAGTGGTTTCAACCCCATGGTTCCCAGAGGTCTAGTCGACACGTGAGTGTGAAGATCTGGCGACACTTTGGAAATGCCGAAGTCTGCGAGCTTCGCCACGTTGTAATGATCGAGCAGTACGTTCGATAGTTTGATATCTCTGTGAATAACTGGAGGATTCTGCGAGACCATGATATGCGTTTACGTCAATAAATTATGTAACACGCAAATCTTTAAAATTTGAATGACACTGACAATCCACGGAAATTCTCATGATTATGGAAATAAGTAACTGTTCACCGAAGTTCTTACCGCAAAAGAATGAAGATGATCCAGGCCTCGTGCTATACCAATTATAATTTCGCGTCGTTGTGCTGCACTTAGTGTTGATGTGCTCTTCCTCCCTGAAATTACGCCACAAACTTCATCAGACCAACGCGATTGTGTGTGCGTAGAGGAAAAGCAGTGAATCAAATATGGACTATGTTTTCTATGCTTTTGATTCAAATCACACGGCATTGTGTTCATTCCAGAAGCAGCCCAGCTTTGCAAAATGTTAAGAACTGCAAATTAAATTACTAGGTCACAAGTTGAAGATTTTGAAGGGTACCGAACAGGTTGTCATGGAGGTCGCCATTCTCCATGAACTCATACACCAGAATCTGCAATCCGTCCTCGTCGCAGAATCCTTCAAGGGGGCAGAGATGACGATGATGAAGGCGGCTGAGCAGAATGAGTTCATTGCGGAACTCTGTTTGGCCTTGTGCACTTGCATTGGAGGCACATTTGACGGCAATTACCTTTCCACTAACCAAAATGCCGCGATAGACTGTGCCAAATCCACCCTCTCCAATGCAACACTTGTTACTAAAATTATCAGTTGCTTTCTCCAGTTCATTTAGTGTGAACCTATGCAACTCTTGCGGAACATTCCAAGGATCATCGATACCTGATTGAACAGTTTCCCAAGAGTTTGATGTCAGGTGGGCAACAAACTTTTTAACCCAGTTCTGCAGTCAAATCAGAGCCAGATGCTAAAACCTTTATTCTAAGTCTATCTTGGCCTCTCAAGGTTATTTCCCATAAAAAATAGTCCTCGATCACGTAAAAATCAATTTACCTTCATACTTTCTTCCAAATTGAGGGTACTTAACTTCGTATTTCCATCTGTACATCAATATTAAGAATACAACAAAGACTGCCACTGCTAGCCCTCCAATTGCTCCACCGACTACTATTCCAGCAGGGAAAGTCGATGCTCCTACTCCTGATGGCATCTCTGCATTGTAACACGACCCACTCTGATGAAAAATGGAACTTCTACCTCTAGGGCTCTGAAAACAGGCTGAAGGCACTGGATGGACAGTAATATCAGTGCAGTCGCTTCCAAGAAGTTAGCGTTACTGTGTACCACTGGATCTCTCTGACATGAATAAAAATTAAAACCTTCTGCAAGCGATTAACTGGGCTAACGCCGTGTGTCAGAGTGTACCTCTCCCGCATATGCAATTAGTTGTGTCTATGACGAACTGAGAAGGCGGACAAGGTGCACAGTTGCCTGCAGATAGTCGAGCATACGTCAGAATATTCTTATAGATTCAAGATAACCAAGCGGAATCGAAATCTACAGCAAAAATGGTAGTCCAATGAGGAGCTGGAGAATGGTCCCTCGAAATAGCGCAGAAGTGTTACTTTCATCCCAACCTTAATCTCTAGCACAGGGCAGAGTATGATCATTCGCTAAAATGGATTTAGTAGACTTACCAAAGTTTGATGACTTTGCCTCGAAAAATCCTGGGCAGTTATACGTCCTGCTACAGTTCTTCGGAGTATTCTCAGTAGCATTCACATTAGAATTAATGGTTGCACTCCCGTCTGTCTCATTGTTGAAGCAATTGCTGTAGTAGTTTCTGCAACAGAAGAAGCACCAAATTGTTCAAGTGGATGGAGCTTTTGAGGGCTCGGAGTTTACCACCAGGCAAACTCTGGAGGAAGTCCTTTTGAGAAAGATACCGTAACCTCGTTTAGGCGCAACTGCAGAACTCTGGACTCGTACATCCTATGCAGGTATTTGTCGTATCAGTTTTAGATAGACTATTGAAATTTGAAATCTTCACTTACATTGTTGCATTAGGCATCGGTAGAGACTTGTCAAACAGAGTCGGATAATCTCCAGTGAGGAAGTTGCAACTAAAATCCCTGAACATTCAAGAAAATAGCAAAGTCCTTCACAGAAAAGAATATCTCACACCCAGACTGCAGTGAAATCATGCACAGCAATCCGTGGTGATGTTTGAAAATAAGTTTCTGTTGAATTTGAAAGGTTCTTAGTCAACAGACTGAGAACGAAGGAAACAAGCAGGCTTATACATCTAGAAACACTTGCACGACACACGAGGTGCTTACCAGTCCGTGACATTAGCGATTCCATTGTGCAATTGCTTCGTGAGGTTCGGAATTGGCCCAATAAATTGACTTCGCATGAAATGCCTGTTGAAACCAAGAAATACAAGCTAGAAACGGGAGTTATCCCAACGCTAAAGCACAATATTTTGGGGAGGGGCGAAGGGGGGGGGGGGGGGGGGAGATTATCTATTTGCTTGACGGTCTTAATCCTAAACATACTTCAGAAGTGTTTTTCGTCGAAACTTGCGATGGAGACATGGCGAGCAAATGCCCAAGCTAAACCTCGAAAAAAAATTAGTTCTCTGAATGAGAAGGGGACAATGAAGAGGTACTCACGCAGTTCTTAGTTCCGGGAGCTCGAAAAGCCATTCCGGAACATTTCCAGTGATGTATAGATGGCCCATTCCACTGCCAACAAAAATGCACGGTGAAGCCATGGCATCGCACGTTATACAAAACAAGCGCAGGTGCTCCGAACAAAAAAATTACGCCAACATATGGAAAACAGTTCACGGTAGGGTCAAAGATTTAGATGGTCTCTTAATCCTTGCCAGAACTATAATCAATTCATACGGTCGGGAACTGGGAGGGTAGCAGGAGTTCAAAGCTTACAAAAAAGTGATCTTCATCAACCCTCTCCATTCTATGGGCACAAAGCCAGTGAGATCATTCTCCCACAGTTGCCTGCACAGCAGAACAGCTGTTTACAATCCGTCATACCACTAGATTGGGATCAACATACCGCTCCTACCAACTTCAAGCAGAAATTTTTATAACTAAGGAGTAGAATTGAAGCATGATTATAGCGTCACTGAAATCCTTGAACATCTATGGCACATGTAGGACATTAAGAAGACTAGCGCATATGACTGAACCTGTCGATCTCTAGGCTTCTAGTCGAGCATTCGATGATGCTGAACGCAACATTTGAAAGTTTAGAGATCTCGATTGCAACATATTGAAAACGAGAATTAGATGATGCTGAACACAAACAATCCTCTTCTGAATCAGAATTTAAAAATTCGAACGGTGGGATGCTGCAGTCCCACCAGTCTTCTGCGTAAGCCTATCAAACTACTTCATCCTTGAGAAAAATTGGCATATTTCTGCTACTGTTCCCTACTAATCTTGCAGTACTGGTCCACTATAGCTCCTATGAACAGAAAGCGTTTAGATGCAGTGGCTTTCACAAGCATTGAAGCAGAGTTGAAGCAGTGCACGTACATTTCTTCCAGGTTCCGCAGATTTCCATACTCTCGGGGTAGGCCACCCCACATCTCGTTCGTGTTGAAGTCCCTGAAGTAAAGATCCAGAAAAGCTTAGATGGACTAAATGGACTGAAGATTGCTCCACCCGAAGCTTTCCCTTTACGGGACAAATTTTACAAGGTTCAGTAAACAATCAGCTGTTGTTTGACAACCAAGCTCTGGGATGAAATACAAGACTTACAGAATTTTGAGGGTCACAATCTGGCCAATCCACGTTGGGAGTTGCCCCCTTATCTTGTTCTTTGCCATCAGTCTGCGTAAGAAAATTAGTGGATACACTCGTTCAAGACCATGCCATATGCAATAAAGAGGTAATGTAACAAAATTGCAGTGTAGAAATACTGCGTGTGAAAATGAATGATACTCTCAAGAGGGTCGAGTATTTTTGTGGGGAATCTGAAGGCTGGCTAATAATCCAAGGAGACCATAGTTTGTTTATAAAAGTCAAGAATCAGGTCACTTACAGGTGCGTCAGGTTGCATTTTAGTATCGCGTCTGGTGGGGGCGAGGTGAGATTGTTTTTGTTTAGGTTCAAGACCTTCAAATGAACTAGTTTACCAATTTCCAAAGGTAGAGGATCTCGAATCACGTTGTCCTCGAGGATTAACGAATCCAGATATAGAAGTTCGCCGATCGCTGGAGATATGGGTCCTGTTAAGCCCTCTGCTGTCAAGTTTCTGCAACCACAGGCGAGTAAATTTTGCTTCGATAAGAGAGCGAGATGGAGAGAGAGAGAGAGAGAGAGAGAGAGATTCTTTTGCAGTGCATTATAGTTTTGATGATCCCCAGCGGATCTAAAGTGCTTTGAGGCAGGCATATTTGGATTCTCTTGATGCAACGGGGTTAGCTACGATATCGTCACTGTTCTCTTGATGCCAAAAACGTTGGAAAGGATGACAGGACATAAAACCTTACAAAGACAATATTCTGCTGTTCGTTGCTGCATCGCAAGTGACGCCTGACCAGAGGCCGACGCATGGATCCGGATTCAACTCCCAGTTACTAAATTTAACGTTCCAGGATTTTGCTAAACTCTTCAGAGATAACCCTGCTCCATATGTTAATCAAACCCCGAATGATGATGAGAATGGTAGTGACCAATAGCTTGAGACCGCTGAATTAAACACACTTGATCCAACCGATGTTAAATTCGGCGAATATCATCTTCACGCTTACCATGTAGAGGCAGCACGACCCAACGACCTTGAACGGCAACACAAAGATGCACTGGACAAACACAAGCATCGAAAACTTAAACGAGGACATCCAAATTAAATCTGACCTTGTTCAACTGACGTCTGTGCACGAATTGAAGCTGCGCTCCAAACTATTAGTGTCGCTGTGAAGTAAACGACGGATACTAGCCGTTTTGAAATGAAATGAAGTCTACAGAAATGTGGCGGGCAACGTGATTTAGATGATTTCCCGCCGCCATCTAGCTGCAACGAAGAAGACACCCAGCCTCCATCCGCACGCAGCTTTAGGCTTCCGATCAACAACGGTTGTGAAGAGAACGTCATCGAGGAATGGTTAACTTCTGTAACAGCATTAGACTTGCGCTTGCATACTTCCGCGCTGGTCGTTCAACTTGCTCAACTGAATTCTGATGCGAGCACCCTCGCTTAGTAAACGCTTATCAGATTCTGGACTTGGGCATTGCGAAATCTAGCTACCAACTAGCAACACACTTCCTGTCCGACGATGAAACTATCCTGATAACTACGAGTTTTCAGGCTCAATCGCACCAATAATTGTTCAATTCTGTCCAACACAGACCAGGAAGTTGTGGAGGAGGAGCTTGTTCTTCTTTTCATCTTCAACCCTCTTCGGCATCAGCTCAAGAACACTTCAACCACACGAGTATATCGTGAGTAATGGCACAAAATCCAGCAAAATGTCTAGCGTCATATGCTATAACGCAGATCACTCAATCTGAGGTGCTGACAATTTCAGCCATTTAATGTGAATGTTGACGCACGTCTAGATTTGATGTTCGAACAATTTAGACTGGGCCTGCACTGAGGCAAAACGGCCTTGTGTTTCCTCGTTGATGGGCTGAATTCAATATTTCAAAGCAGGATTCCTGCCTGACTGCTTCTTTCCTGCCTCCAAAGTTGTGCCTTCAAGGTAAAGTCCCTAGTTTTGGTACCTGGATTATAACACAATAGTGTCTTTCTCGGAATGGCGTTGACAACGTCAGAAACTGACTCCAGCTGATGCATGTGAACAGTATTTCCCATATTTCAAGCGATTAGAAACTATATACTATTAAACCCAGTTTCCGCTTGCTGGGAGACAACCCGGAAGAGCTGAGAAGAATATTCAACCCACGATCTCAATCTCAAGAGATCCAAATAAACGACGAAACTCACGAGCGAAGCTGGGGTTATGCATCCTGTCTAGTATCTGCGATACAGCAGTAGTTTCGATATCTGAAGTCACCGGCCAGAGATGGCTGTAGCAACCAGCATGCGAGGTCATGATGCTTGCTTCACCAGGAATTCTCCCCGTGGACAGTTGCGGTCATTGCTGCCTATATAAGCCAGCAACAAAAACGGCTCAGAGTGCTCCGGGAGATTTCGACCTGGTGCAACGACGAAGAAGAGACATGGGGCAAATGGGGGAGGGTAATATCCCACTTGCGCATGAACCACAAAGACAGCGGCAGGATATGCTTGAATCTCGGTGAACAAACAACCATGGAATCAAACTCGTGCAAAGAGGAAGAAGCAGGTTGGTAGACGTAGAGGAAGCGATGCTGCAGGAAGTGACGTGAGCATGAATGTGGTATATTGCCTTGAAGCAAGAGAAAGCTGGTAGCTGACTTAGAGACCAAGTTCACGGCAGGGAGCCAAGCCCCCGGAGCATCAAAGCAAGACGGTGGAGAGCAAGCATCCTCCTCCTCCTGCACCATTAACGAGCAAAAAGCCTCGCATTGTGAGTTGCAACCTGCAAACACACTTTATCGTTGGAAGAACTAATCCAGTGGCATCTCTGGTGTTTCTTTTATTATCCTCACTACTGCAAACCAGTATTTAACATCAAAAATGTTTAGATTTTATCTTCCATTGACCTTTATAAATAGTTTGTTCAAATTTTCAGGAGATGAGGTCTAAGGATGTGTGCAGTATCGTATATTACTTGGGGGTTAGTATTATACCACAAGCATTACTCAAATAGAAGGAGAAATTATTCAACAAACAACATATACTGCAGAGATGATGCTGATCTTTTAAATTCTTCAATTTTGTAATAAAAATTTAATGTGACTATTTCTTATAGAAGTGAATTAATCAAGAACATATTTGTATAATAAAAATAAAAATAACCATCATTTTGGCTTAGTACTTTCAATGATTTGTATCATCAAATCTCTTTTTAAATATAAAATTATTATCACGTTAATTTTTATTTTAACTATAATTTTTTTGATTTTGTAAAAATAACCAATCTAAATGCATTTTTTTATTCAATCAAAATGATTACTACTACATAACTTATTAGAGTTAAAAAAACAAATAATGCAAGGCTAAATATCTAATAAGTTTTTAAAAAAGCCAAACAAACAAACAAATACCCTTATCAAAACTATTAGAACCATAGAAAATGCATAAAATTTCTAAGATTGGCCTTCTCAAGAAAATTTTGTATCTCAAATTATTTATCAAATATATTGCTTTAATCTTTAATTATGCCAAATTTGGTACCACCAAACTATTTGTAGAAGTTTTTCACAATATGTATTAAGTTTAAAATTAGAATTTATTGTAATACATATTTGAATTAAATGTAGAATTAATTTTTTTCTGATTTAATTACATAAATAATTTACGTTTGCAATTAAATTTGAACATTTAGTAATATGAGGGGATTGCAAATTAATATGTCGATTTTGAATTACCTTTTTGTTTTTTTTTTAGCACATAAAGATAAGTAGTTTGATAGTTTTTTTTAGTTGTGTATTTTAAAATACTTCTGAAATTTCAAATCTAAATGGAAAAGATATCAGCACAAAAACATTTCTTTCAAAACACATCACTTTGATATCTTTACAGTCTTCAGAACCATTATTTCTCTTAGAATTTAGTATTAATCTATAGATTATCTTGCAATATTACAAAGTTATGGTTCAATTCGCTAATCAGTTCATAGAAATGATGTCCATTATCTAAAAAAAATTAAAAATTGAATAATATACTAATCTCTATTTGGTTGTATAGAAGGTGCATTACTTTGGTAGTAACTATTATAGATGTATTAATTTAATGCATTTTATTTATAATAACATAAGAATAATTTTATTAAAAGATTTATTAAAAAAACATTAAGAGGATAGAATTCTTATAATTATTATAAATTTGATTTCTCATTCATGTGTTTCATATAATTTTTTTATTAATATAGTAAAAATAAATATTATGATTAATAAAAATCTAAAATTTAAAACACTTTCTTGCATTTGTAATATTAGGTATTTTATTATAAAGCATCTTATTAGTTCAATGATATTTCACATTTATTTTTTGTTATTAATAATTATTGTTATATTTATTTTTTAAGATTTACTTATACTTTGAGAGTAATTTTATTTATAGAATAAAATTTATTCTTGTATCTTCAATTGGTTAAATCATAATTACAAAGCTTATATGTAGCAAAATTTTGATGTGTTAGTTATATTCTTTTTGAGGTAAAAGTTTCCTATAAATTTATTGTTAAAGGTAACAATATTTTTGCTTTTCAAACTTTGAAGCCATAATTAATTTTCCTTGGATTACAACTATTTGTTATGTATATATTATATTATGTTATTATTATCATCTATTCTAAATTAAATTTATTTTTATATTATAAAATTAATTATTTTTAAAGAATTGCATCACTTAATATTTTATTTTTTATTTTTTTATTACTTTAATAAATATCTACTAAATTTTACTTAGAATTATTATTATAAAAATTATAATTTTATATTTTTAAATAATTATTTAATTAATAAGTATTATAAATTAGAAATTTTTATTACATAATAATATTCTTTTTATACTAATTAGAAATAAAAATTGACCACTATACTATTGGAAGTTGAAAAAAGTTTTAAAAAATATATATATATATATTGCAAAATCTTGATTTAAAATGTCTTAAAGTATCTCACTTGGATTACAAAAAATATATTATACTTTCTTTTATTTTTTATTTATTTTATTTTTAATTTCTTAATATCACTTTATACCTAAAAGACCACTTTGAAAAGCCATAGTTCAAAAGTCTTATTAAATTCTCTTGATTAGTAAAAGAAAGCCTTCTTTTGAAAGCTTTAGCTAGTAGATTTAGTATAAAGTAAGAAGAGGCCATAAAATGGACAAAATTATTATTTTATAAAACTTCTTAATTATTTTAGTTTTCTTTAAAGATAGTCCTTATGTAATTTTTTTAGAAACAATACTATTCACTCCATGTGAAAAAATAAAATACATTCTACCTCATATTTTTCTCTTAGAGCTTTTGAACCTTTTTTTTGTATAAATATGGCGTCAAATTAAGAATAATTCTTGATTTTAACTAATTAAAATATTTATAAATTAAAAGCTCTTACCTTCTCTTATAAGTATACAATGCTTTTTAAAAAATCTCAAATTTTATATTTATCTTAATAAAATTCTACTTTAAATTTAAGAATTAAAACTTGAATTAAGCTATAATTTTTTTAAAAATAAAAAGAATATATTGGTGATTTATTTTTATCCAAATTCAAAATATAAATAAAAAATATCAATCAATATATTCATAATAGTAAATTTTTATCTAAGTAAAGAGATTATAAGAGTAGATTGGATTATTTTGGTGATTTATTTGAAGAATATATAATAAAATATAAAAACTTATCAATATTATGGCATAACAGATATTTAAATTACTTAGATCTAAACAATCTTTCAAAAGAAAAACTAATAATTAAATTTCCAAAGATTATATTTTAAAAAAGAATATATAATAATTGCTTAGTAAGTTGTCAATACTATGAATTGTTTTTTCAAAAATTAGACACTAAAGCTATAAAATTAACTCAACATATTCATCTTGATTCAATGGGCTCCATACAACAACTATCACTAATTAGATCAAAATACATTCTTATTTTCACCTATTCTTTGAAATACAAATAAAAAATTCTTATTGCATTGAAGGACTTTAAAAGAATATACAAAATTAGAGATATGAAACAACATCAATATTATCACAATAAATTAAAGTGGAAAATATTTTTTAAAAGAATTCAAGTTATATTGTCAATTAAATGGTATAAAAAGAGAACTTACATTAGTATCTTCTATGCTTCAAAATAGTACATAAAAAAAAATAAAATAAAATAAAAAATAAAAAAATCAAATGATTTTAAAACTCATATAAATTTTTAGAAGTTTTTACAAGTAAATGCAACTTTCTAATATTCTTATATACTAAAGCAATTTTTATAGCAAATTATCTTGTGAATATAAGCTTAACTACTATAAACTTTAAAGAATTCTAAATGAACTTTATTCAAGTAAATTTTTGAATATTTTCTATATAAATTATTTTAGATATTTCTCTATCATGGACATGTACATTTATGCCAATAGTTACTTATATGATTAGGTAGTAGTAGGTAAATATAGATTAATTTCATAGAGTCTTCTAAAAAAGCTTCCTAGAAGCTTCATAGATGTAATTTTGATTTTAGATGTGTTTGTAGGTTAGAAACTTGGCCAAGAAGCTAATCACGTGTTGATAGCTTGTAGAATAAGTTAATTCTATGTGGTAGCTATTTCAATGCCTTTCTAGTCCTTAATCTTGTTTCAAGACTTTCTAGTCCTCTTGTTTTTGACAATAGCCATTCTAGCTCAATATTATATCAACTTTGAGTGACTTTCTAGTTCTCTTCAGTGATACAAGAGTGTGTTGAGGATTTCCTTTCTTCAAGATTTATGTCTTTGATATTCTCATATATTCAT